GTGTCTTTTTACCTATATAGAATGGAGTTGTCGACCAATATAAGCAGTGAGCTATCTTATTGTCGCGCATTATTTTTTTCCGATAAATACCAGACACTAACCAACAAATGTCAATCGTTCGTTTGTGGGAACGCTTCCGTGTTTATAGCTCTTATGAGTTAATACTTGTTGAAATGTTCGTTGGTTGTTAAAACTTATACCAATCCTACCAAGAAACTCATTGTACTCGTCTGCATGCTTGATCAAATATTCCTCTTCCGTCTCTTTATAATCCTCTGGTGGCCAGTGTTGACGTATGGGTACTGTTGCTTTTATTCTTACATCATCCGTTTCACTTATCGTGGACTGCCTTCTTACTTCATGATTAAATAGATCAATATTTTAGACTTAGCAAGATGACTTGTCACATATCATAAAATGTATCTCTTCTGGGTAATGCTATTCTTATCATTTTAAATGAGACAAGATAGCGACCAAAGATGAGAAATGTATCTAGGCTCCATTTTGACTCTAGCAAGTGAGTGAAATACTTTCAAGTAGAGCTTCGAAGAAGCCACTGTACACACATGTGGTATAAAGACAGGTGAATCAAAGAGATACCTTGTATAGCTTGCAGTGAAAGAGGACGTATATGGCTGAGTATTGTATTAGGAATGTAAAACTGTCGCAACATTTTATTTTTATTAAAAAAATTTTTTTGTGATAATCGGGTTTTGCAGACTTATCATTGGATGCATCGCGTATAATTAATCAATTCAGAATTTTTAATTACGCATTATAATAGTGACCTAATTTAACTCCGTCTTTTCCTTTAGTCAAATTAATATTAACGGTTAATGGTGCTCATTCTGTTTCAACAGGAAATTAGACTACACCTTTGAAACTCGGTTCTGGACCGCTAGTTATATACTTATGAGTTTCACGCAAACTTTATCAAACAAACGCGCTAACATTGTCAAATATTACAATCATGGAACTTTTTAATTGATCGTCTTGATGCAACATCGTTACGGTCGGAAACTTTGGAAGCGTTTACTTCAAATATGGATTATCTAACATAGTTACATGACGCCTCCTTAGAGGCTAGCGTCAATTAACCAGTGAAATGCGCGATCGGTGCAAGGCTTGACTGACAAAGGATACTTACATTCTCGCTGCAAGAAGTATAAATACGATGCAAGATATGGAATGTTGATTTTCTTTTTCGCAGGCGCCAGTAAAACCTACATGATTGTCTTTTAATCGAGAGACATCAGATATCTGTAGAGGGGAATGAAGGTCTCGCTTACGTGATGAAAATCACCAACATTTCTGTTTATATACATGAGTCAAAAATATACTCTTTCACAAGAATGATAAGATACAGTATGAATTAGTGACAAACTGCTCAAATATTGATGGGACCAAACGTGCGGACGAACGTCACATATTTTATTAAGCATGTTGTAGATATTGATACAATTCCACTCAGCTTGAATTTGTCAATGAAGATTATCCCAAAAAGCTGATTGAGTGTTCATTCTAATAATGATTGCTTGAGTGTTCAATATTCTCTCCAAGTTTATTAATCAAATTACACCGTCCTATACAGAATATTTACTTACGCAAATTGCCAAAGTAATTGATATCATAACGAACGATTAGACATTACCAATGGATAGTAACTGATCTCTTCACCGACAATGTTCCATTGGATTTAGACATTATACATTATCAGACAGATCAATATCACATTCGCCTTGAGTCGGCGCCGGCGCCGGTGCCGGCGCGGACATCATTTTACCATCGCTGTGGTCAATCACCCAGATCGTCCTAACTCCGACACATAATATTATAAATAATAACCAATTAGGCACACGCATGCTAAACTTCTGACTAGTATCTTCAGTTGCATCCATTATGGCCACAAGAAAAATCCCCCATAATTGTGCTGATGAATTCAGAATCCCAGTTGTAGTTATTTCGTCCTTGTACGGTTGGGAAGATGTGATTATGTTGGTATATTGAAATGCGGCAGAGGGGATGGCTAACGA